GGGGGTTGGAGGATTCAGACTGTGCAAGAATTTTTCCGCCCAGAGGAATTAACAAGACATATATTTTTTACCTGTAAAATGCAGCGCAAGATATTTTTGTTCCCAATATATTTCGCGGCAGGATACTTTTTTTGCCCTTTCATATAGCTATCGTCAGAGACGTAGCCGGGGTTTTCAGTCAGAGGAGGTCGACAACTGAATTCCAAGAGGGGCCAAGGAATTTTCACTGTGCTTTATTTAATATGGTTATGTCTTTATAATGTTCCCCACACTAAAGCGTGCAGGTTTACTTACAAAAAATGTGTAACTGCACCAAAACCTAAAACATGCAGGGATAGAATAGAGTACTCGAAAATGGGGGAAGCACAGTATATGAATTACCTGTAACCTTAGGGGGGGTTCGGGGGCATGCTCCCCCGAGAAAATTTTAAAATTTGAACCTCGGAAATGCTATTTCTTGCGTTTTCATCCATGGATTCGTCCAACAACTTTGCTGTACTAAGCTTAAGGAACACTTACTGTCCTTATTTTAAACAAGGGGAAATTAATAATATTTTGATTAATGCGTAATAAAACAAGATTTCAATAATGCGATTTTTAACTGCCCTCCGAAACAACAATGTTCCTCCATGCAAATACAGCTCTGTAGCTTTTCAATCGTTCATACAGATAGCTTGTTGGGGATCGGGTTGCATCATTCTCAGAATTTTCTTAAAATCTATACTCTCTAAACTGGCATTTTTGCATTAAAATCATCGTATATGCAGTACGTTCAACTTGCATCCTGTAGATGGGCCTATGTAGTTTGGAGCTATGCTATCAAAAACGCCATCCAAAAATACTTTTTCTACCATGCATATTAGATATGTATAAATAACTTATAAACTTGTACATATCTTAAGCTCAGATTTTCTCGGGGGGAGGGGGCAAAACTTTTGCCAGAGAACGCTACGGTAGAATCCCTGTGATGTTGTCCACAGTTCAGCCCGTGTTGTTCTAAGCGAATGTGCCTGCTCAAAAATGCAAAAATTTTGCAAGCCTGTGGACACAATACTGAAGTGAAGAACGTTGAGCGCTCTCCTTTGCATGATATTTTTTCTCGATTATATGCTGCATGATATTTTTTTCTTTCTCCTTGGATTGCAGGAAATTTTTTTCGAAATCTTCCACCCCCCTCAAAAATTAAATGGTCCGCCCCTAAATGCGCTTTATTACCCTCTATTAAGCCGGTTTTCCACTAGCGAATTTTTTCGCGCGAAGCGACCTTTTTCCTTTCTCGGCATCCATTTTGAAGCCCTCGAAAACCGTCAAAATTGAGATCGTCAAAAAAGGGCCGACCTAACTCTGACCTAGGTCGGCACGTCTCGGCATTTCTTAAAATCTGTTTCACGTCTTGGAGCACTTTAATCACGCCTTTACGAATAATTGAAATCGGAATATAACTGGAACGTTACCTCCAGCCGGAAATTTTAACTCTAGACGGGCGAAATTTGATCTGCAGACACCTAACGTATAAACACATGCAATACTCGTCAATTTTTAAACCTTACACCGTCATGTGTTCAATTAATCGAACTACGAATCGAATTCTATAATCGCTGAATTTTAATTAGAAAGAATTTGCATTGCTGCGTGTGTGGTTTCTTTGAAGCATGCTAGTGATATTCGGTTTGAATTCAATTATTCAGTAAGTTAATTTTGGTTTCTTCAGTGGGTATCTTTAGCCAATCCAGTTTTGCCGACTGAGATAATAATTTGCCGACTTGCTGACGAGTGGGGGTGTCCCCCCCCCTGTAGCGCCGCCCCTGCGTTTATGTTTTTGCTTTTATTCAATTATTCTCCAGATCTGTTGCAAATCTCGCAGGGAAAGACCCTGGCCTGAAGCAGGGGGTGAGCGAAGGTAATACCCTGGGTACGAAACCACCGGAACAACCGGAACGGCCAGAACAAGGATTGGAAATGACCGGAATCACCGAAACCAAAATGGAACACGAGCGGAACAAAGTAATAGAAGACGACCTTAATTAGGTCTCATACAGACAATACATCTAAATTAAACATCTAAAATTGGCTACTACTTCACGGATTTTAGTGAGCTCATGAAAATCACGCTGTACACATCTCGCTTCTCTCTTCTCTAATTTTCTTAATATGTCCCTCGCCTTTAGAATCTACAAAACAATTAGACGGCCTAGTTTTCACCTGATTGAATTTACAGTCGTGCCAATAGAAGCGTTCCGAAAAATGTTGACCAGTTCATTTCCTAACTTGAAGGAACACCTCTGAACAATTCCTCAACAATTTGATAAGTTCCTTAAAAAGTTCCCAACTTCCTGTTTCATTGACCAATCAAATTTTATATTTTATTTTTGAGCAATCTGATTGGTCAATGAAACAGGAAGTTAGGAACTTTTTAAGGAACTTATAATTTTCAAATTGTCGAGGAATTAGTCAGACTAGAGGAACTCCTCGAAGTTAGGAAATGAACTGGTCAACATTTTTCGGAACGCTTCTATTGGCACGACTGTAATAAACAAATTGTACTGTCTTCATGCAAATTTGAAAAGAAAATAGCTTTGTTTCGTTTAGCTTTTCCATGGCTTCCACGCTTGCCGTACCCTGGATTCCAGAGCCTTCGACAGTAAATAATAAATTGAAATGTCGCGAAGGCTCTGGTTCAACGGGGCGATTCTTTGATTAAACCGCGCCAATCACAAAACAGAATTAGTGGTTTTAGTACAGAATTTGGTTTTAGTTTAGAATCGCCCCGTTGAACCACAGGGGGCAGAGGAACGATCGTGTTTTGTTTTACTTTAAATAAACAATCGAATGACTTACCTTGTTATCTAAATATCATCTTTTGCAATTAATTGAATTCATCTATCAATTAATTCCACTTAATTCAAGATATAAAAACATCACACATGTATATTAAGTTTATATATTTTCAAATTCGAAGTTTTGTTTTGGAACTCGTGTATAACCGCAACCCACTACACTGCAGGCTTGCATTGCCCGAATCACAAACGAAGTTTGCTTCGGGAAACGATGTGCACCCGAGGGAGGGACGAAAGAAAATTGAGAAAGGGAAGAAACTTCCAATATTGCATCGTTGCCAGAGGAGGTACGACAAGCAATTAGCGAGTTGTCACGTGAGCTCTCGACCAATGAGATCGCTCTATTTTCCATCGTGTTATCTGCAGAATTTGGACAGAAAAATTTGCATTCGACGGAAAATAAATCGGAAAAAAATATTAATATTAAAATTTTCTTGCAAAATTTCAAGTGTAGTAGTACTACCGCTAAAGATCTGGTGATATCTGCAGAAATCTCTGAGGTAAATGTTATTTTCAATGTTATTTTGATGTTTGAAGTTAGTCGACTCCCCGCGACGTGTTGACTCAAGTCTGAATATGTTTACAATGTTTAAAATGAAATATCTCGAATTCCCATGGTTCGATTTTCTTCATTTTTTGGTAGTCGTCAAGATAAAAGTATAAGCTTTAAATCTGCTGGAATGATCCCGGTGATCCCCCGGCAGTTTTCGAGATATTGTCCGTTGAAGTGACTATTGTCAACTCGACGTTCGCTAAAATGGCGTCTAATACCTTGGAAAGAAAATGCGCCATCGAAGATGATATTTTCAATGAATTTTTGTTAAAGTGTTAAAATATTATTTAGAAGACTTAGGAGTTGTTTTAATATTTTTTTAGAATTTATATCTGTGCGATTTTCAAAGTTTTGTTGTCTTTGACCGACGCGACTGGATCGTGTACGTATTTCAAGACGAGCTGATCGCCTGATACTGGGGTTTTTGTGGCAAATCGAGCTGCGGAATCCTCAGCATGGACAAATCAGTGTCATAACAGCCCATTTCAAGCCAGCGGAGAGTTTCACTTGTTTTAAAGCAATAAAATAAGTTTTTTATGTATCATATAACAAATTAAGTGGCATGTTATTGTGGGATCTTTCCCTGCTGGCAGTGGTTTCTGAGCTGAAGTGAGATCTCTGATCAACTTAATAAATATTATATAAATAGACATCTTCTTGTTTTATTGTTGCATTAATTTTAATCTGAAAAAATACTCAGAAAGTAGGTCAAGTGTATGAATAAATATTCATTTATTTACTAAAGTACATTTTTTACAGTTATTTATGTACTTAGTCTTATTTACATGAGTGTACATGACAGATTGGTTTAATTAGATATACCCAGTTATCATTCATAACCTATGGTTTGTTTAAAAAATGCTGGAAAAACTAAAAAAGTTAGCCAATTGAAATAAATGCACTAATAA